TTCGAATCGGCCGAGTCGACTACCATGATCAACGCATGGGTATTGATAAAGTAGGTCTTCCATGTTTGCCGCAACACCTCTTGGCCGCCTAAATCCCATACTTGGAATCGCATGTTTCGATATGTCACCTCCTCTACGTTGGAGCCTATTGTGGGATAGGTAGATACTACCTCGCCCAAATGCAGCTTGTACAGAATTGTAGTCTTACCGGCGGCATCCAGGCCTATCATGCAAATCTGTTGAGGCAAGCACGTTCGCAGTCACGTTTTAATCGATAATGGTAGTTAGAAAAGCGCATGAATCGCATGCAGGAGGGAAAAACCTCTACGAGAAACAAACCAAGTTGTCTGTCTGCCAAGGACGCGCACACATACCTTGACTTCGCGGAAGCCAGATATCCGTCTCCACAACTGAGAAAACAAGATGCCCATGATGGCGCGCGCGTGCAGTGGGGCAAGCGCGCACCTTTAAGAAGAAAGGACTTCGCGACAAGAGCGCGCCTTAAGCTTAGCGCACGGCGAATGTAATGTGTCAGGCCTGGAGAAGGTGGCATCAGCTACAGCGCTGGCCTCTGTGGAGGAAACGCCCGCATGCTCTCTCAGTGCGTCGACATTGCGGCAGTGGCTCTTGATGTCATCCTCCGGAGTATGATACTACGCAAAGCAAAGGACTGTACACGTGTACAGGCACGCACTCCTTGTTAAAGTACGGCCAATCAGAATGCAAAGCGATCCCAATATCCGAAAAGTAGTTGAAAATCAAAATTTTAAGCGATCAAAAATGCTTTTTAAATTGCGCGGGAGACTCTCTTCTTCTCTCTCGGAATAAATCGGTCGCGCTTAGGCCTTTCGGTCAGTGTATCGGCTCCACTCCCATTTTCTGTCGGGAAATCCATTCTCTCAACCGTTTGTGCATGTCTTCACCATGAGGGAAGTAATCACCGTGCAGGTAGGGCAATGTGGGAACCAAGTTGGGACGGAATTCTGGAAGCAACTTTGCGCCGAGCACGGCATTCAGCCCAACGGGATCGTCGAGGAGTTTGCGACAGAGGGCGCCGGTGACAGAAAGGA